AGCAGATTTTAAACATTACGTAGACTTCTGCAGATATTGGAAGTTTTTCAAAATCTCTGTGAACAACACTAGCTTAGCACCATCCAACAAGAGGGGCTAAAATTAGCTGGAGCTCAGCTCTTAGCCTGCCAGGACATGCAACTGCTTAATTGTATCTACAGGTTGCTGGTGATGCTGTTTTTTGATGCAGTTATAAATCATAATGCGGGCTATGATTTTTATGTATTTGACTTTCTTTTGTCTGTTGCCTTGTGCTTTGTTTTTCTGCGCTGTTCAGCACTTTGGATCAACAGTGTTGTGTGTAAAGTACTATATAAATAAAGTTGAGTTTTCATCAGCAGGTCTGTTTCTTTTGGAGATGAGGAGACGTCTGCAGATATTCAGCACTTGGCAAAAACGCTTTGAACAAATCTTTTTTTATTATTATTTAATTGCGCCAAATTATAACAAAAGATTTCGCTGGACACTTTACAAAAAGAGCGGTTCAGTGACTTAGTAGACGATCATCTCGTTTGTAAACATTTACAACCTGACATGCTAAATGCCTGATGATCCTGTGAAACAATAAACCCCCAAAAAGTGAAAAGAATTGTCCAGCAAATAGCAAGTTTATCAAGGTCTTTGAATCAACTTTGAACTTTAAATATCTATTAATGCCTAGTTCTTATAGCACCACCTCATGAAATATTGAGAAAATCTCTGTTATAGGGGATACATACAACCTGTGGAGTGATTGCAGTTACGTCATAAGATAATAAATAGATGTGTGTGTCCGTGTGTGGGCCTGCGTGTGTGCGTGCGTGCGTGTCAGATTGTATTTTAAGTGTGTTTGGATTATCTTTGCTGTCTGACCTCCTCTTATCTGTGTGGACCGTGTGATTGACAGAGTTAATCCTCCCCAACATCAACGCTTATCACTGCTCAGCCTGTATGTGTACCATTAACAACGCACCAGAAAACACGCACACAAATACACACACACACACACACACACACACACACACACTAACATTCCTGCATTACCAACAGTGGACTTTAACTCAAGGGACCACTGATCAAGGGGGAGTGGGGGGGGGGGTACCACATAGCAAGATTATAGGGTAAGCCGCATCTGTTTTCCATGTCACAAAGCTGAATCTCTTTTAACCTGGCTATATGGTAACTTAACGCTTAATGACTCATAACTCAGGTTATGTTCAAAAGAGCGAGGCCGTGCAGTTACAGCAACACATAGCCCACTGTTTGCATTCCATCAAGGAGCCTGATGTAAAGGCTTTAATCTACCCCGACTCTCTCTCTCTCCCTTTTGTTTCATATCATATTCACCCTTATAATTTCAGCAGATCATCAACACAGTAAAGGAACAACGAGGACACAGCATTTAAGTAACTAAAATTGTTGTCCTGCTGATGATAATATTGTATTATCGCATATTAAATTAATTCAATCAATTCATTTGACTTGCATTTGGCCATATACTGAAGTTATGCCATGTGTTTTTTTTCATAAATTGAAAGGCTATCTAACGGTTCCTGATTATTCTGCTTACATTTCTTGTATCCTGTTTAAGAGTTGTTCAGCGAGTCACCATAAACCGTAAAGCTTTTGAGATGCATGTGTGTGTTGTTTTAAATTGGGTGTCAGTGACATCACCCATTTATTTCTGAAGAGATGTTTTGAAGCCAAATGATGGCGCTCCTAATGTTGAAAAATGCTTTCTCAACCTAAATTTTGATCAATCATATCAAAGAGGTGGAGCTAAGACAGGCCGAAACATCCTGACAAACAGTTACGACACCATTCAGTCAACTCATCCACGCCCCTAACTACGCAAATGTATGTATAACTCTTTGTATTGAGTTCTGTAAAACTTCAGCCCATACAGTTGACATAAATGGAGAAATGAGCTTTAGAGACCAAACATTCATTTGTATCAGGCTAGAAACACGTTTATTTCCCCTGCAAAGGTCGACATTTTAACATGGGGCCTTATCAGGACTGCCTCACTGCAGGAGAAAGCCTCTAGTGTACACTACAGGAACTGCAGTTTTTGGCACTTGCTCTATGGCTTCAGTTTAGAACAGCAGCACCCCTTGATTCAGACAGAGGAGAATTAAAGAACAAATTCCATGAGATGTTTCAAATTCCCCATAAATGTGAAAATCTGCGCTTTATTTCAAAATAAACATATTTGTCTCTTTTAGAATTAAAATTAAAATTGATTTTGAATATAAAGTGGTCCTTAGAGGAATTAATTTCGTTATCACCTTTTACCTTTCAGATCGGTCTTTCACTATAAACAGCTTTAATTTCACTTGGCCTGTTATGTGACTTCTAAGCTCTACCTCGTGGCTTTTAAAGCAGTTTTTTGTCTTCCTGTCGTTATCACTCAGACGCACAATGAATCCTGAACGCCCCTGCTTACTGCACCTTTCACTGACTGTTCAATGAATACACCCAAAGGCTGAACGCATGAAGGAGGCTGATAAGGGCTTCAAGCTGGGGTGTACAATCGATTGACAAGAAAAGAAAAAAATTTTGAAGAATAAAAAGGTTTCTAACATATTGTCAAATATAAATCCTGCACCCTGTACATGACTAAGGTTTCAACATTTTGGATGCTTTTTGATGCTCCGTGTTTTGAAACTGAAGAACCTTTGTGATATGATGATGATGATAGTCAGAGTCCTCTGTTTGCGAGTCAGACACTGAGTCTGAAAATGTCCTGTGGACTATTCACCTGGACTTAACCGCAACAACTGGCAACTTGTCTGTATTGTGTTTATGTCTACTGTAACTGTGCAATCTGTTTAACTGTCCAATCTGTCCGCAATCCGGCCAACAACATGTTCATATTGAGCCTTATACATAAACATGCAATCTCTACACTGTTCAACACAGCAGTGTATATTCATATTTGTACATATTGTTTATATCTTAAATTCACCGCACTTTGTACATAGCTCACTATTATTCTTACTCTCACTTGGTACTTATTGTTTATTCTATTATTTCTATTCTATGTCCTACTGATGTTTTGTATTCAAAAGTAACTAACAACTGAGTTTCCCCTTGGGAATATTAAAGTATTTCTGATTCTGATAGACAGTATCGAAAAGTGCAGAGCTTAAAAAAAAACTACAGATCTTCAGTCATATATGAACAAGAAGCTGCTGCGAGAGAAAGAGAGAGAACATTGTCTAAATTGTATGAAAAAAGTTGGCAACATTTCGGAAAGAGGACGTGCTCAAATTGTATGTTTGTCCACAACACAAACATTCCTGGTTTACTGTGAACGAGGGGGGAATAAACCACATTATATTCACATTTCAGAAAATCAGTCGGAGAGAGTCAGAGATTTTTTTCTTTGATAAAACAATCGTTCAAACCTGAATGCACTAATTTTTCCATTTTAAAGGACTGCATCATCAAGTTAATTCTTTCACAACACTTTCAGCCATAGTTTTTATGACCATATTGACAATACAAAATACTGAAAAAGCATCATCATTTACATATAAAAGTCCAACCAACTCCTGACCTGTCCTTTCCCGATACTCGTCTGAGTTTCACACTGCAAAAACTCAAAACTAAGAAAGTGTATTTGTCTAATTTATAGTCAAAGAATATCTCATTACACGTACATATAAGCTACATTCACCTGACAAATCCAGATTATTAGATATAAAAAGCACAAAGTAAGGCCTGATCCTGGTAAAAAGTTCAAAATATCTGCAAATGCAGGAAACAATTTTTACTTAAGTTTCTTGAAATTAGATGTACTAACTCATTTTGATTGCCTGCTGCATTGGCAGATAATTCAAGTCATCACATGCAAATTTTATATCTTGGAATAAGATATTTATCTATGTCAGATAGATGAATGTGGATTATATTTAGTGTAATAAGATATTCTGACTAAAATGTTTTTAAAATACACTAATACGCTAAAATTTGAGTTTTTGCACATGCAAGTCAAAGACAAATTTCTAACAGTGCGATTCAAAGTAAAAAAGTAAATATATCATAAACATGTAAACAATGGATCAAGCTGTGTAAAGCACCTCCATCCTTGATTCAAGCTTTACTTTTTTTCTGCAACAACCTGCAATTTTTTTCCAATCAACATATAGTCAAATATACAATTTTTATCCGAAAGTTACAACTTGATTATCTTAATAGTTAGTTAATAGTTAGTTAACTATTATCTTAATAGTTAGGGCTTTAATAAATAGTTGACATCTAATCGGTTTATTGTTTTAGTTCAAATTAAAACCAGGGTTAAATTATGTTTACTCTTACCTGTCAAATAAATGTGACTCTAATTAATCAGGTATTGACAGATATAGATGAATGTTACTATTAGAATAGAATAGAAATGGGCAGAAATGTGTCTTTGACAAACGCCATTAAGTAACACATTTAAACAAGGTGGCACATTTAAAAAACATTAAACACACTATAAAGACACTATAGTCTATATATAATGAGAACAGACAATATAGGGCTACATTACAGCGAGGCAGCAGGTTCTTAAAGCAAATATTGAAGTGGTTTTTAATGTCAATCATATGAGGATAAAAAACTGAGGGTCACCTCAGCCTTATAAGAGTAATAAAGATTACACTTTAGGTCAGTTCAGGGTTTAACAGATTCCAGACTGAGTCCAGACGCTCCAAACCATCAAACAGATCGATGACTTTAATCCTCAGTGACAGCTGTCAGTCATTTTTCTGTTTAAAGCGGAGTTTTGCAACATCTGTGCAAAGACAGTCTTTTTACTCTAGCGCAATTATTGAACAACATTAATTTGTAATGTCTCTGTGAAAAATAGAATGAAATAAACCAGAATTAAACAAACCAGTGTACAAACGAATAAAGGATAGAAATGCAAACCTTGGGGGGGAAAAAAAAATACACTCCCCATCATCACTTTCCTAACTTATGCTGCAGATTCTAGAGCTGAAAAGTCGAAGAATTAAAGCAGAAATTGTTCTCACCTGGCAGGCAGAGGAGAAGCAGGGGGTACGGGATTGATCCGCTGCAGAGGAGCTTCATCCCGCTCCGATAACTTTGATTGATCCGATTCACAACAATCGATTACAATACTGTGATGACTGATAGATCTGCTTCTGACCGCTGAGCGGAGAGATGAGTAAACACAGAGAGAGAGAGAGAGAGAGAGAGAGAGAGAGAGAGAGAGAGAGAGGAGAGAGCGAGCCGGTGGTGTTTGCTGTAGTGCGGTGGTCGCTGATGTATGAGGAGTCATTAATGCCACACAAGCTGCAGACCAGTAATGATCCTTTCCTAATGGAGCTCTAGAAAAGCCCAGTCAGGAAGACTGTATTCTGCTTGCTGTTTTATTGTTCATTCTCATATTATGTTGCATGCACTCCTCCAAGCATGCTCACTCATTTTTCCATGTTTGCCATCAGCAGTTCACATCACCTGGTCACATCTATCCAATAGCACTGCTCCACTCCCTCATTGTTAGCCCATCATATCGCTGCTGTCTTTTTTAAATATTGCTTTCTGTTCCAACAGTTAATTCATACCCATTGTTACCTGTGAGCCTCCACCTCACCGCCAAGTCTTCACAGTTTGATAACCTCTGGTCACATTACCAGCCATCATCCATCAACCTTTCCAGTTTGGTCAGCCTCTTCACCCCGTCAGGCTCAAATGACATCTTCAGGCATTTCAGTCAACCCCCTGTCTTACATTTCCATCAGCTTCTTCATACCATCAGCCTCAGACGACATCAACCTCCAACACCTACACTACCAGTGTCTGGAAACCATCGGGGGAGAGATCTTTCTGTTCCAGGGCAAACATCGCGGTCACCTTATCGCCTTGTAAAGTTCAAGCGCCAGAGGCATTTTAGCTCGTTATTCAATAAGAACATGGAAGCGATAAGATGTTCCTCAGGTTTTCCGTGATACAGCTGACTTGAATTGGCAGAAATGAATTCAAGTAGCGAAAAAGACATTAAATGTATGTCCTAATTAAAAATGAATACAAAATTAACGCTAATGGTTAACAATTAACATATTAACAGACATGTGCTGCTGCCCCTGTTGGCCAGAGAGGGGAACACTCTTGTAAATGAGATTCTTCATCTCATGAGGTTCATTTTGAATAAAACTTAACATGAAACCAGCTCTGGTAAATTATATATTTATTTAAATCTAGCACAGCTAGCCCCAGATATAGAAAAGCATGGACAGTACAAAGAATGGACAGTGGAATACCTCACCTCAAATGAAGTGAAAAAACATTACGAGCTCTCCTGCTGATTGACTGCAGTATCTGTCATAAACCCTGCGTCCTCCATGTTAACAGATGGTACATGAACCAAGGTTTTGTCATGACAGTTAGTTTTAGTAACATTGTATTCAAGTCACTGCTTTGTGAGAAGTTTCAAGTCAATAAATTGATACTATAAAAAGGGGTATAACACCATGATTGACAGTTCTGTTGACAAACTAGCACCACCTACGATCTTGAAAAATGAAGCCAACGTGGAAGTGCAAAATTCTGCATTTCGTTGAGTGTCGGCTTGAGGCTGGCTCCAGGAGCCCCGGAAGTCACATACACACAACAGCCCAAAAAAAGAAGTTTTTACAATAAAAATTTACATGTTTACAGCCTGGTACGAAAAAAATAAATAGGTCTGATTAGTTATTGTCATCATGGGCACACAATGTACGGGGGTCAAGTGAATGTGTACAGTTACTGCTTGCTACTACATCATCAGTTACTGAGTTACTGCATTAGAAAAGTAACTAGTTACTTGGAAAAATAACTCAAACTTCCTTTTTTTGCTTCAACACTGTCAGCTATGTGGCTTATTCACTATTTACAGCAGATGATCTGGGAAATATGTCGTCAACAAAATACCTTGCAATCAGTCTATCAGTCAATCTATCATCTGCAAAAATACAACAATAAACAGATTTTGATATCTGGAGAAAAGTTTGATTTTAGTGTGCACTGACCACTACACCTTCTTAGCCACATGGCTGACATTCGGTACGCGGTCTGTATTGATTCAGGTTTTTCCTCATGGAGAGACAAAGCTCATGTTCTGTATGACGGCTGTCAGCCTGAGGGATCAAACTCCAGCTTTTAAAAAATACATCAGCAAACTTGTTCAGTGAGTTAATAATTAAAGAACAAGATTGACCACTTGTCTGATTCCTTTGTAACTGAAACCAAAAGATGCTTGTACCCTCAACACATCAGGTGACAACTGCTTCACTCAACTTCCCCCCAAACACACACCCTCAGCCATCAGTCAGAAACAACAAAACAGCAGTAAGCTTTCAGAAGATTAGAAAAAAATTCACAACGTGTAAAGCAACAATATGTAACTTCTCGGCCTTAAAAATAGTCGTTTTAAAGTTGATCTAATGGTACAATGACTTTCAACAGGGAGAATAGCGTCGCTCAGACAGATCGGCCAGGTCGCCTGTTTTCAGCACTATGTAACTGATGTATTGTTATCGTATTATTGTCATCCTTGTCTCATGTTTAGCACTTTAACCGGGTGCAGAAAGTCATCTAACCCAAGTTATGTCACCTGTATGACCTCTCATATGTGCACTTGAGGCTGACTCCATTAGATGTGTTAGTTGTAGCAGGTTGCACTATGTATACCCTGTAATATGACTGATTTGTTTTTTTATAAACTTAAAATTGAAAGTCATTTAAAAAACATAGATGACTTTTACAAATTCACCCAGCATGCTACTTACAACACGAGCTACAGTTTTTTGTACCTGGCTGTAAACATGTTTGTTTTTTTTCCTGTAAAAATGTGCGTTTGAATACAGTATGTGCATTTATCAGACTTCCTTGTGTGTAAGTTCTGGTTTACATGGGAACCCCTAAGCAAAGACTAGCGTAGGTGGTCACAAAAAAAGTTTAGTGACAAACAAAAAGAGCAGGAAGTGGAGGCAGGGAGCTTGCTGGCCCGTAGAGTCACCACCAGAGACGTGATGACGAGTCCTTGGAGATGTGACGAGGGCTAAGAGCAAAAAGAGAAAAGCTCAGGCACCAGAAACGCCGGGAGCATCAGAGCAGCAAGGTAGATATGAAATGGACAAACAGAGGAACACAGCTAAGAACAAAATTGAGCTACAAAATAGGCCGCCAAATCACGCTATAGGTTGGTAACTTCAAAGAAACGCTGCAAGAAGGCACACACTAATGAACAAGACAGAATTATTTGGCAAAGTAGTGGAGTGAAGACCACTTTTATAGTAAGGTTGATGAGCAGAGTGGAAACAAGTGTGCCTCGTCAAAAACACAAAACACCATGAGAAAATCTAAACCTAAAGAATCACCACGACTTGTCTTCTGCAGACAGACTCAAGTGGACACTGGAGGAGCTGAAGTTTTTTGCACGGCTTCATTTTCAACACCAGAAGTTGCTACAAACTGCAAAAGTGTGTCTGACCTCAGGACTCTTGCAGAAAAAGTCCAAATAATTCAGGTTGAAGGTGTTCACACATGCAGAACATTTGAGATCATTTCCAAAGCTTTTGCAGCATCCAAAGAGCAGCTCTTTGTGGCATTGTGACAGATTTATTTTTGTTTTAGCAGCTTTAGCCTCTTTTCTGTGTCTTACAAAAAGTTTTATGATCTGTGCAGCTCTGAAAGAAGTTCATATTTATCAGGCCTCTGTCAAAAAATATTGAACATTAAAGGAAGAAAGGCCAAAAAGTTTTCTGTTGCAGACATAGAGATGAGTTTGATAAATCTGGAACATCTGAGGGAGAAGATGTCAGACTGTCCTTTAAGATAACATCTTCGTGTTTCACTGAGGATTGAACCCTGAGGCTGAACTCTTCAGTTTGTATGTTGATCTTGTTTCTTTACGCTCCAAGTTAAAATTTGAGATTTAACATGTTTACTGATATTTACTGCCCCTTGTCCTCTGTTTGTGTATTGTAAATGAAATGGGACACGTTCACAATGAGCAGCAGCCAATCAGAGACAAATGAATAAATAACAAAGTATTAAAGTGAGGTGAAGACTTTAAAAGGAGATTAAAGGATTAGCAGGAAATAAATTAACTGAGAAGTGATGAAGTCATGGAGTCAAATATCAAACACAAGCCTCTTTCTTCATTGTAGATGATGTCGTTTCATTTCCCTCTGTGATCTGGTTAGATGAAAAAACCTCACAACTGTAATATTTCTGTTATTGAAAGAAAAGAAAGTCAAATGTTTTCGCAACTAGAAGATATCCAGTTTGTAAAATAAAGAAAGACAAAGGACTATGTAGTGGAAAAGTATTTACTCTACTCTGATAATCTGAGGCTGCAGGAGCCTCATCTGCCAACAGAGCTGTCAATGATAACTGAAGAAAAGAAACTTCAACGACAAAAAAAGACGATCAGCATGATAATAACTACAAGGACGAATTCCATGTTTTAAAAAATGGTTTGACGTCATACTTTGATTTAATAGTTGTACCCAAGTCCCATCTGTTTTCATGGAGGAGTGGAGGTTATGATCTATACTGCAGGCAGTCAGCAGGGGGAGCTCTAAATGTTTTGACTTCACTTTAGGCAAGGTGTTGCACCGTCCATTCTTAAAACACAATGATCACTGAATTACTTTTGGTGAAGATATGGTCTCTGCATGGAAAGACCATCATAAAATAAAACACAAATTCAAAATACGATAGGGGTTATCGCAACCGGCTCACTTTACAGGTGCTCTCCCCTGCACCATCTGTGAGCCAGTGGAATCACTCTCTCCTTTTCCTCCCTCAAGGCACCCCCCTCCAAACTGAGATGAGTTGAGTAGCTTATGCAGGTTTTCAAATGAGCACCTCCCTTCCTCAATGTTTGTCGATTTAAGCCCATGACATCTCGGGGGGCGCTTGACGGTAGAACCAGCGTCCTGGTACTACCCCCCGCAGTCCACCACTCAACTCTGATGTTTCCCCTCCCCAGGTTTGCTCTGCCACCGCTCATTCCGCTTTATCCAAATCCACCGAGATGTTGCCTCTGCCTGCTTGGTGATGTTGGCTATCAGTCGCTTCCTAGCCAGGCCTTCAATTCCAAGCAGTCTGAGAGCTCTCCAGAGCGACTGCCCTGCGAAGCCCCTGCAGCCGACATCCACCGGCAGGTTCCATGCCTTCCACCCGTTA